TTAGTCATTGTCCCTGCTGGGCAGCATTCCACTTTAAGGACTGTACACTATTTCTTTATTCTTCTGTGGAAGGACCTTGGTGTCCTCCCCAGGCTCTATGATGTTATCTATCTAGACTAGAACAACAAAGCTGCCTAGTCCCCGGGAATCCTACCCCAGAGGCCCCCTGGGGTCTGCTCCCTTGGGCATGAATGGCTGGGACTCAGGACATGCCTAAAGTCAGCCCTGCTAGATAGCAGGAAGCTGGTTTCCCAAGTGGCCACCATGTGGATACTGCAGCCCCCAGAGATGACCCACTATTCTATGCCTTTCATGTCTTTCATGGGTTTGTCAGTTCTCACCAACAGTGAACAGACTTGGGGAGAGGCCCCCTTTTCTCCACCAAACTTACTCTTTTCTGTCTGTATGGCTTAGATGTGAGATTCCTTATTCTCTGCAGCTGCAAAGAAGGCGGGGCTGCACCCCAACCCGATCTTGTGAGAAAGGATGTGCGCTCCTCCTGCGGCCTGTTCTTAGCCCTCCCTCCTTGGGCTGTTGATGGTTCCTCTCTCACTTGGTGGTTCAACATTTCAGCTCTGTCTAGTTTATCTGAAGATCATAACTGTTTTTATCTGATTTTGGAAAGAAAATGAAATGCTGACTTAGTGTCACTGTCGATTCAATGTAAAACTTCAAGGTTCTTAAAACTGTCCATTTCCCAGCCCAGTCCCAGGGCCCCTGCACTGGTATTCCACATGAGGCCTTAAGCATCTATACGTTTAAAAATCCCTCTGGGGGGGCGCCTGGGTTGCTCAGTGGGTTAAGCCTCTGCCTTCGGCTCAGGTCATGGTCTCAGGCTCCTGGGATCGAGCCCGGCATTGGGCTCTCTGCTCAGCAGGGAGCCTGCTTCCTCCTCTCTCTCTGCCTTCCTCTCTGCCTGCTTGTGATCTCTTTCTCTGTCAAATAAGTAAATAAATAAATCTTTAAAAAAAAAAAATCCCTCTAGGGGCGCCTGGCTGGCTCAGTCAGCAGAGCACATGACTCTTGATCTTGGGGTTGTAGGTTCAAGCCCCATGATAGGTGTAGATATTACTTAAAAATAAAATCTCTAGGGGCACCTGGGTGGCTAAGTTGGTTAAGGGTCTAACTCTTGATTTTGGTTTAGGTCATGATCTCAGGGTCATGAGATCGAACCCCCAGTAGAACTCTGAGCTCAGCAAGGAGTCTACTAGAGATTCTCCCTCTCCCTCTCCCGGCAAGGGTGTGCACACATGCGCATGCGTGCTCTCTCTCTTGCAAATAAATCTTTAAAAAAAAAAAAAAAACTTTAAAAATAATACTTCCAGGTGATTTGAATAGGGCCATGTTGGACAGATTTGACATAGAAACCCTACTTTCAGGACATGTGGGTGGCTCAGTGGGTTAAGCGTCTATCTGCAGCTCAGGTCATGATCCCAGGGTCTTGGGATCAAGCCCCACATAAGGATCCCTGCTCAGTGGGGAGACTGCTTCTCCCTCTCCCTCTGCTGCTCCCCCTGTGTATGCTCTCTCACTCACTCATTCTCTACCAAGTGAATAAGTGGAATCTTTATTTTTTTAAGATTTTATTTATTTTTTGACAAGGAGAGACACAGTGAGAGAGAGAACACGGAGAGGGAGAAGCAGGCTCCCGGTGGAGCAGGGAGCTCAATCCCAGGACCCTATGCTGAAGGCAGACGCTTAACAACTGAGCCACCCAGGTGCCCCAATAAATGGAATCTTTAAAAAAAGAAAACAAGAAAGAAAAGAAAGTGAAATTTTACTTTCCACTTAACTCTTATTCTATTATTTTTCAATTGAGCTCTCTTAAGAGTTAAAAAATACTGATATTCCAAATTCTTTTTCCTTTTTATATGAACCTTTCCACTTATTTAATAATTCTCTAGCAACTGTGCATATCAATCTGTATTTGGTATGACAGATTTTTTTTTAAGAATTTTATTTATTTATTTTATTTGACAGAGAAAGAGCACAAGCAGGGGGAGTGGCAGGCAGAGGGAGAGGAAGGAGAAGGCTCCCCACTTAGCAAGAGGCCTGATGCGAGGCTCTATCCAAGGACCCTAGGATCATGACCTGAGCCAAAGGGAGACACTTAACCAACTGAGCCATGCAGGTACCCCCAGATTAACCTTTTATTTATTTACTCAAATGATTGGGCTTATATCTTAAATTAGCTTGTTAATAAGGACATGTCTTCTTTCTTACATATGTTTCCTGACAACAGGAGAGTCATCCACATGTCCTACTGGCCCACCATGTAGATGGAATGAAATACTGAAGTCCCCTCCACCCACACCAGTGCAGCCCATGTGACCGTCCTGACACCATCCTGGTTTCTCATCCTTGAGTCTGGAGGGGCTGGCCCTGTGAGCACATGGCCATCTACGCATTCTGATTTTGTAGAATTGAAATCTCAGCCTGTGAGGCACAGGGCTAAGTGCTTAGCTTGCCATGTCCCATCAACTTATCTCTAATTCATCCTGGAAAAGTAAGAAATGCCCACCAAAGGAAATACACTCCTAAGGAGGTCAACATTTAACCAGGGTCAAACAAAAAATGCCTTCACTTTCTCTGGGCTCTGTTCCTGGAAACAATCACAGGGATCATGTATTGGTCCCCGGATTTTCAATCAAAACATATCCTGGAGTTGATGCCAAAGAAGGTAAATCAGAATTTCCTTTGGCTGCTGTTGGCTTTTGGCTTTCTTTCTTGTGAAACACATACACTTGATTTTTCTTCCTCTGGGATGGGCATGCAATTATACAATTACCTATCTTTCTCGTGTAAAACCTAAAAGACAGCTAATGGCCCACAACATGAAATATCACTTAGTGAATACTTTTCTGATTCTGATTTGCACTGCTTTGGTCAAGGTAAGGGTGTGTGTGTGTGTGTGTGTGTGTGTGTGTGTTGGGGAGGTGGTGTGGGTGTGTATGGGGAGAGAGAGAGAGCAAGCAACACACATACATAATATTTTTGTACTGATACAAAAGGTATTAACACAGTAAAAACAGAAAAGCTGGCTTTTGAAGCTGTGGTAATCCCAAATCTTTCTGTCTCTCATGCTACCCCTGGGATACTGGAAGTGGGAACAAAAACACTCTTACTGTTGGAACTACCGTTGTCTGGGTATTTCCTACCTCCTCCCCCAAAGACAACCTGGGCATAAGGAGAAGACACCCAGATGAAGGAGTTTCATGAGGCTCTAGGACAAAACACAGACCTATTCTATGTAGTGGATGGTCACCTCAACAGATGACCACGTTGCCTGCAGATCATGTCAGTGTTATTCCCCCTCTTTATATTCTTTCCTCACATTTATTCCTATCTATCTAGATATCTAACTACCTACTACCTATCCTCTCCCCTCTCCTCCCTTTCTTATCCTAGAGTTTTGCCAGACTCTGGAGCTATGTTTAACTATGGAGTTATTTTTTGCACGATTATATATATATATATTTTAAAGATTTTATTCATTTATTTGACAGACAGAGATCACAAGCAGGCAGAGAAGTTGGCAGAGAGAGAGGAGGAAGCAGGCTCCCTGCTGAGCAGAGAGCCCGATGCGGGGTTCGATTCCAGGACCCTGGGATCATGACCTGAGCCAAAGGCAGAGGCTTTAACCCACTGAGCCACCCAGGCGCCCCTACACGATTATATTTATTTGAGAGAGACAGAATGAGAGAGAGAGCGAGAGCAAGCATGAGGGTGGGGGAGAAGCAGAAGGAGAGGGAGAAGCAGACTTCCCCTTACTGGCCCAATCCCAGGACTCTAGGGTCATGACCTAAGCCGAAGGCAGATGCTTAACCAACTGGGCCACCCAGGCACCCCTAACTATGGAATTATAATGTGGACATCATATTTTGTGTTTGGTTTTAAAGGGAATGCTTCTAAAGTTTTTTTATATATAATTTTTTTTTAAGATTTTATCTATTTATTTGACAGAGAGACAGACAGCAAAAGAGGGAACACAAGCAGGGGGAGTGGGGAGGAAGAAGCAGGCTTCCTGCTGCTCAGAGAGGGCTTGATCCTAGGACCCTGGGATCATGACCTGAGCTGAATGCAGATACTTAACAAACAACTGAGCCACCCAGGTGCCCCTAAAGTTTTAAATTAAGTAGATGTAACAGGTCTGGGTTTATAGCTTTTACAAGATTAAGGAAGTTCCCTTATAGATCTAGTTTACTAAGAGGTTTTTTCTACTTTTCTTTCATGTGTCCATTGTACAGATCAAATTTGGGGGAGTATTTCCCTGGTGCTTTAAAAGCACTGCACTCTGGGGGCACCTGGGTGGCTCAGTCAGTTAAGCCTCTGACTATTGATTTCAGTTCAGGTCATGATCTCAGAGCCCGCATCAGGCTCTGTGCTGAGTGTGGAGCCTGCTTAAGAGTCTCTCTCTCTCTCCCTCACCTTCTGCCCCTCCCAACCCCACAGCACATGCACACTCTCTCTCTCAAAAAAAAAAAAAATAATAATAATAATAATAATTTTTAAAAATTTAAAAAGCAATGTACTCTGTTTTTTTATGATGGTTGTCCTTAAGATCGATACTTATTTGTTTTTTAAACTCAACAGTATCCATTTCTTTCTTGCCACAGGAACTTTAGCAAACTTTCTCACCCCTACACCACATCTCCCATCCCCATCTGTCCTGTGCCTCGCTGGGGAGGTTTTATATATATTTGTGACTGATGGGTTCACAGTGTCTTCTATTATCCTGGGTATTATTATGTAAAGATAATCTGCTTCTTGAGAACTGCAAAAGAGAATCTCAGGACTTGGGTTTTCGCTTAATAACTCAGGAAGTTAAACATTTTTTTCATGGCAGCTAAAAGGACACTTCTGGTTCTGAGAATTATCAGCTGATGCCCCTTAACATTTTCTTTATATTCTGTTTTAGTTTTTGTTATGTGATACTTGTTGATTATGGAAAATTAATAAAAGCAAAAAAAGTCAAGCAGTAGAAAAAAAGTGGTAATCACCTAAAATCTACCTGTGGTGAGCTTTGGTCATGTTAGACATTCAGATTTGTGGCCTTTCAGGTTTTCTCTCAGATGTACACCACATGGACTGACGGAGATTTCCCCTGCATGTCCACACAGCAACTGGAAGAGAGAGGCAATATCAGGAAGGATTAACTCTATCCCCAAACAAATCCCAAGGAGCTATGGCATAAACACGGTTAGCACTCTGTTTATCCATAGGGATGTGGGCTCCTAGCTCTCTGCACTGCCATCCTAGGGCAGAAGGGCCCAGAACGGCTGCTGGGGCTCCCGCCATGATATATGCATCCTGAGCAGCAAAGAGAAAGAAAGGGAGAAGGGTGCACACCCTCCCTAATAAGAACATTGCTCAGAAACCACACAGTCTTATCTGTACAGATTGCCTGAAAGGTAGTCACAGGGACTACACAGGGAATCCAGCTGCTAGGGGACCTGGAAGAGATACCCTTTTCAATGGGTACAAGGCTGCCCACTCCAAATCAGGGTGCTTTAACTCAGGAAGAAATGCTGCAGAAGTTTCATCTCAGTTTTTCAGAGGATAAAAATGAGTCCTTAAAAAAAGACACTTGAGGGGCTCCTGGGTGGGCTCAGTGGTTAAGCATTTGCCTTCAGCTCAGGTCATGATCCCGGGGTCTTGGGATCGAGCCCCACATCGGGCTCTCTGCTCAGCGGGGAGCCTGCTTCTCCCTCTCCCTGCCTGCTGCTCTGCCTACCTGTGCTCTCTCTGTCAAATAAATAAATAAAATCTTTAAAAAAAAAAAGACACTTGCCGGAAGTCCACTGAAGTGTATTGATGCTGTATATTGGGGTATGTACTAACCTTGTGGGGAAAGATACTTGTATTTTTGTCTCTAGACTTCTGCTTCTTCAGTGATAAATCATGAGAGTTATTTCTCCTTGTCTTATTCTTGAGACTGAGGCAACCCTCAAACTTCTTTCAGATATTAATGTCAGGAAATATTCTTTCAATAAACCCTCATGCTATAACACTGGGAAGGAGACATTCAGAACAGAGGGACAGGTTTCACTGAAATCCTGATTTTGTTCTCAGAGTTAGCTCAGCTGACATGATCACTCCCAAACGAGTGCAGACATAGCTATCCCATCCATCTCTATTCTACCGCCCTGTGCTGGATGTGGCTTCAGCGTTTTCCCAATCTTATTTCACTTAAAAATATGGGGAGGGGCGCCTGGGTGGCTCAGTAGGTTGAGGCCTCTGCCTTCAGCTCCGGTCGTCGTGATCCCAGGGTCCTGGGATCAGGCCCCACGTCAGGCTCTCTGCTGCAGGGGGAGCCTGCTTCCCGCTCCCCCTCTGCCTGCCTCTGTGCCTACTTGTGATCTCTCTCGCTGTGTCAAATAAATAAATAAAATCTTTTTAAAAATAAAATAAATTAGTGGTTTTAACAGATACCAGAAAAGAGAAGAAAAAACAAAGTTAATCCCTTCACAAGATTTTATCTTAGGTGACGGTTTTTCTCTGAACTTCTCTTTACTGTTTACATAATAAATAGAAGACCAAGAATAGAAATAAACTCATCTGATATACCCATTGTTTCCTTTTCCTTTTCTTATTCATTCCTTTCCTGTCTTCCTCCTTTTTTTCCTTTCCTCCCTCCTCCCCCACCTCCTTTCTTCCCACCTTTTCTTTCTATAAGATGAACCTGAGAGGGGCACCTGGGTGGCTCAGTTGTTAAGCATCTGATTTTGCCTCAGGTCATGATCCCAGGGTCCTGAGATTGATCCCGGCATCAGGCTCCCCGCTCTGCAGGAAGCCTGCTTCTCCCTCTCCCACTCCCCTTGCTTGTGTCCCCTCTCTCCCTGTATCTCTTTCTGTCAAATAAATAAATAAAATTTTTAAAAAGTAAATAAATAAGATAAAATAAATTTTAAAAAGATTACACTAAAATATTATCTTTATTACAGGGTTTGGCTGTTTTGGGGGGTGTTTTCTTGGGTCACATAACTGCCTTTATTGTGAACAGCAGGTGGAACACTTCCAGCAATAGTAAAAAAAAAATTAATTTACAAAAGCAGGGATTCAGTGAAGCCGCCTGATTGGAATGCTTGGGAGCTCATACGTAGATGTCAACCCCGAGCAGCTGGAAGAGGACTCCAAAGCCAATGAAGAGCGAGGACACCAAAGAGATGAGGAGCTCCGTAGATCTCCCCAGTATACTTCCTAAATGAAGAGCCAGGCGGAAAAGAACAGGCCAATGGCCCAGCACCACAGTCAGATGGCGGAAGACAGCCGAGTTCACGAGCTCTGCTTTGGCAGGCACAGGGTAATCCACTGCTCCACCACCAGAACAACATGTTGGCTTGACTGCAGGATTTTTTGACAGCCTCTTAAATGTGCCGAAGCGGAGTACCATGCCTGCTTCACCCAACTCCTGGTCCTTTTTCACAAACCTCTTAACTGAGGAGATCTATAGCCTCAAAGTCATGATTTAACTCACCTGCTCGTCCGTAGCACATGGGATCTCCCATCTTCTGGACCTCCTGTAAAGCGCGAAGTGAAGAGGCATGAGGAAAAGAAGAAAGCAATCTAGAATTCCCCTTGAGTCGTGAGGGTTTCTGTTTTAAGTCAAGGCCCAGTTTTTTTTCCTTCTTGAATTAAGTTACCTAATCTCTTTTTCCCTAGAGGAGAAACTGATGGGCCAGAATGGACACTGGGCAACATCAGGGGCAATCCTGAAAGAAAGCAACGTCTCTGGGTACCTGGTGGCTCACTTGGTTGAGTGTCCAACTCTTAGTTTCAGCTCAGCTCATGTTCTCAGGTGCGTGACATGGGAGCCCCACATTTGGGTTCCATGCTCAGCAGGGAGTCTGCTTGAGATTCTCACTCTCTGCCCCTCCCCCCACTTGTCCACGCTCTCTCTCTCTCTCTAATATGTCTTTTAAAAAGGAAAGAAAGAAAGCAGCAAGTTTCCATCCAGTGTGTCGGTAGGAACAGGTAAGCTCTTGTGTCACAAATCCAATGATTAGTCATTGGGAACCACTCGGGTGATCTGTTTTTCACCAAAATACCCCTATGGAATAACCAAACAGCACTGTAACATTTTGGAGCCACTTGCCAAGACAAATTAGGTGTCAGCCAAGGTTATTTGTAACATACAAAAGCAAAAAAAGCAAATGTCTTCTAGGACTTGTGAAAGTGAGACAGCCCCCGAATAGGCGTCACTTGCCCCCTGGCCCTCTGCCATCAAGGTTCCAGCTCAGTGAAAGGCCCCCTACAAAGATTTCAGCCCCTACTGAAGTCCCCAGTATTGGTAAGGTAGGAGTTTCTGGTTGTGGCTGTCTGGTCTGTTGCTGTGTCTAAAAAGTCACCTAATAGAAAAGTCCGATTGTCCAGGAAACAGCTGACTGACTACCAGAGACTGGAACCAAGGGACACTGGGTGAGGCCCAAAGTAAAATGTGTACAAGCTTAACAGGCAACAGGCTTATATGCTTTAGCCACTCCAGGGGTCGGCCTCAGTCCACTCTGGATTATCCCAGACCCACAGTACAAGCAGACTCAGACCCTCTCTGGAAACCCCACACACACCCAGAGCGTGTACTTCATGGGCCCCTGAACCTTGATGACCCTTGATGGGGGATCATTAAGTCATTTTTGCAGGACCCTGAATGGGACCCAGAAGACCACGAGGTCCTGAACTGCCTCCCACATTCTCATTCAGCCCAGGCCACAAGGTTCCCTGCAAGTCCCCTCCCTGTCCCTTTGGTGTCTGGGAACAGGAATGAAAAAGGATCCAGAGAGTCAGTATTGGGTCTTTCTGAGATGGATGGGTCTCCTTAGGTAAATGGTTCATAACTTCTCATAGCTCCTAGACCCTTTGAGAACTCAACAAATGTTACTGGCCGTCTCCTCAGAAAATGCACATTGTCATCCATGCACAAGTCTGAATACATCATCTCTACACACAACACTGAATGTGATGCCAGACACCCTGCGGCTCCATAGGCCTCCAATTAAGAGTGTTTCTCAAGGTAGACCTGCTTCTGAGGACTGTTTGGGACCCCTGAGATCCCAACAGAGGCAGAGCATAAGGAAGGGGACATCAGCATTCTCCAGGCTTCCCAGCTCAGACCCAGCAGACATGCGCCCAGCAGCTTGTGAAGAGGCATTAGTTACTCAGTTAACCAGGGAGCTGCTGGCCAGGGCATCCATTGGAAAGATTGTCAAGAGCTTGCAGAAGGAATTAATTCACTGTCACGGTCAGCCAGATAACCCAGAACCAGGCAACCAAGACAGCTGTTTACCCAGGGGGTCTTCTGGGGGTCGATCCTAGAAATTCTGAGCCTGTCCTTTTAGGCAGCAGCCAAACTGACTGCCAGGCAGCTTTGTGGTCAGTTGGGGGTTAAACCAACAGTGCACCGGGCAGGCTTGTTCTGAGGCAAAGATGTCCTACCATTGTGTCAACGCAAAAGTACCCTGGAAGGACAACAGAAAAATCAGCCTTGGCCAGGGCCTCCCAAGGGCATCTTGACAACATGAAAGCAAGAATTCTTGCCTCTAGGACCAGGCTGAAGAGGGACTGGGAAAGGGGCAGGGGGCTCTGGGCTCAGGGAGTCAGAGGTGGCCTCTAGATGTAACGTGTTGGGCTTCCCTTACAGCCCACTGGCCCTGAGGTCACTGTCCCCACCTCCCTGTCCTTAAGGCAAGTGCTCTGAAAAGAAAACAGGGAAAGCAGAGAGAGCCTAAGAAAACTGAAAAGAGAATTCATGGAAACAATAAGAAGCTGCACAGTTTCAGGGGCTGTAGCATCTGGGGTGGGGTGACAGCACAGAGGGGGGTGACAGGGCACAGCAGGGCAAATGCTGATGAGAAATTCCATCACCCATGGAGCGGCACCCGAGCTCACGACCCCCTCCGTGATCAAACATTTGGTGGAGGCAGTGACTCTGGCGGAGAAGTGACTGTACAGGGGCCCCCTTGCCCATCGCCGGGGAGACTGAGACAGAGAGTGAGCCTGAGGCAGTGCCCCAAGGGCAAGCACAGGGGAGTCCTAGGAGCAGGAAGACAGGACCTCTAGGCCAGAGACTCTGTGATCTTGAGCAATGACCCCATGTTTCTGGACTTTCTCTCACTTCAGAAACTGGGGTTGTAGGGACACCTGGGTGGCTCAGTGGGTTAAAGCCTCTGCCTTCGGCTCAGGTCATGATCCCAGAGTCCTGGGATCGAGCCCCGCATCGGGCTCTCTGCTCTGCGGGGAGCTGCTTCCTCCTCTCTCTCTCTCTCTCTCTCCCTGCCTCTGCCTACTTGTAATCTCTGTCAAATAAATAAATAAAATCTTAAAAAAAAAAACAAAAAAAGAAATTGGGGTTGTACGCTCTGACTGAGGTGAAGCACCAGGAGCCCTCCGGCATGGCTCTCTGACACCATCCTTGCAGGGAAGGCGGGACCCTCAGGGATCCTGCCTCCCTCACAGTTTGAGGGACAATGGGATGACCAATAAAGTGCCTTTGTCAAGGGTTCAGCAGGAACATAAGTCATGAACTCCAAATTCTTCACATCCCAGTCCTTTTGGCAGGATGAACGGTGCCCATCCCACAGTGCACAGCAGACTCTCTGGGGGAGCTTCTTTAAAATAACATAAAACCGGGGCATCTGGGTGGCTCAGTGGGTTAAGCCTCTGTCTTTGGCTCAGGTCATGATCTCAGGGTCCTGGGATCGAGCCCTGCATCAGGCTCCCCACCCCCACCCCACCTGTCTCTCTGCCTACTTGAGCGATCTCTCTCTGTCAAACAAATAAAATCTTGGAAAAAAAAAATAACATAACATAAAACAAAAGCATTTTTTTTAGTTGCTCTTAATTTTGAAATTTTTTTTTCACATGAAGCCACAGATACACAAGCATGGAGATCCTTAAACATAAACCTTCGGCACAGATGCATAAAACTTTCACTTCATGATAAATTCTAGAGATTGGGAGGGAAAAACATTCTTGAAAAGAATTACATTTCCACTAAACTTCTCGATCCCTAACTGAAATGGAGGCCAGGGGGAGGCCCCACTTTGAGCCCAAATTCTACTCCATGAAAAAGAAAGAAAAGTGTTGCCTTGAGAGCCCTCCTCCAGGTCTTCCTAGAAATGATTTTAGACTGCTCGTCTTTGAAACACTTCAGTTTGAGATACGCTGCTATGAAAACTTTCCGTGCTGTCATTTCTGTGACAGCTTGTCCTTGACCAGAGCTTGCCGTGTAGCCGCTAGCAGGGGTGGGCAGGGCAGGGGCTCTCTGGTACCAAAGATGCTCGCCTATGTTCCAGGTGGGTCCACAGTTTTGTCAATTTTCCTACAGTTCTTGACTCCTCTCCTTATTAAGTTTTTACTTGCTTTGATGGGTTCTGCTTGTTGCTTTATATTTCTGCATTTTCTCACAGCCTTTCTTCCTTTCTGTGTATCTAAGGCCTTCACTGCTGTTCACTCTGGTCCTGTGAGCCTCTGCAGGTTGGCTCTGGAACATCAGCAGGGGAGGCTTTGAGCCTTCTGCACCCAGTTTGACTTCTTTGAATTCTCTTGGGTGATTCCCTGGGTGAGGCAGCGTCCTGTTCTCAGGCACATTCAGAAGCGAGAGAACCAGTTTTAGACATTGCTGAGAGGTTGCAAAGGACTGTACTAATTCCAGGGGGTGGGCCGAAAGAGCCCTCTTGACTCAGATGTTATTTTTCTGGAAAGATCTTATGAATATATCTTCTGGGAACTGGCTTTTGGATTCCAGCCTTGTGGGTTTTTCAAAAGGTAATTCTGCTGCTGTAGCCTTCTATTCACAATCTGGCCATATTCTCAGCACTTGTTACATTTCTACACAGATATTTTTAAACTTTGGCTCAGTTCATTGTTGATTCACTCAATGTCTCCAAGAATAAAGTGGTAATAAGCACTGGCTTCCAGAACACATCCAGAAACTGGCCCAGGCCAGGGATCCTTGGGCAGGGTAACCCTTAAGTCACCCGGCCCTCCTTAACAGATGCTATTTCATTAAAATCCCTGACCTCGCCACAGCTCGATGGCTTGGACCTCTTCTAAGCCAGAATCAGAGGTGCTGAGTTCTTGGGGCCCCATGGGTCTTCTAGTACACCCAGCCCTCTTCATGCGCTTCCATTCCAAGACTTGTTTTTCCACTCTCCAGTGTTCTCTGATGCGGAGTGAACCTCCTCACTTCACTCACTCTGGTCTTTGATTTTGAGGGTCCTTCAATGATCTCCTTTAGCTGGTGATTATTCTGCTCTGTCTGTCCTGTGATGAGCTCCTTCTCTGATATTTGCTCTGTCCCCCTCACACACAGAGATCGAAGTGGGGCAGCCCCTCGATCATGAAAGCTTCCCAATTCCTCACTGAACCCCAGGAACCTGAGGCTTCCCAAGGATCCAATGGTCTGGGACGATTAGGGGAGAGAAGAGACCTAGCAGGAGAACAGCTGCTCAGAAACACTATGTGGGGTGGAGGCTGGCACTCCTCTTGGTCTATCTCAGGTCCTACCCCATGAAGCTGCACCCGGAGCACATGACCCGATGTTTCTATGGTAATGGTATACAATCGAAACTCTTGTCTCTGCATCACTTCGAGGTTCCCACATCTGCATCTTTAATTCGTTGCTCAGATATCCAGAAGCAATGAGCCAGAATACAAAGAAATGGGAGACTCGATTGAAGAGCCAGGGTCCTGGGGAAAAGATGGACAGGGTACTTTTGACAGGAGAAAAAGGGCCTTGAGGTCAGGGACTATGAAGCTAGGGACCAAGGCTATAACACCTGGGAGGGACCAGGGATTTGGGGTTTAAGAAGCTTATATTAGGGGGGTGCCTGGGTGGCTTAGTGGGTTAAGCCTCTGCCTTGGACTCAAGTCATGATCTCAGGGTCCTGGGATCAAGCCGCACATCAGGCTCTCTGCTCAGCAGGGAGCCTGCTTCCCCCACCATCTTCCTGCTGCTCTGCCTACTTACGTTCTCTGTCAAAAAATAAAAAATTTAAAAAATTTAAAAAAAAAGAAGCTTAGATTAGGAAACAAAGGAAAGGCCCAGGAGAGGTTGCCTAGAAGATTCCTGGAGCCCCAGAAAGCAGAGATCTAGGACCAGCTAGTAGGGGTGAGGGGAGAGAACAGCTTGTCCTAATGAAGGCCTCCTCCATTGCAGATCAGTCCTGTACTGGGCCTTCTAGCTGCTGCAGACATGCGAGAAGACTTCTTAGCATTCCTGCAAGGGAATCTGTCCAGAGGACCCCAACACTGGGTAGGAGTGAAGAAAGAGGCTCTTTGTAAATGTTTCAAATTATAGTTCTAGATCACAGAGTTAAGGCTGCATCACAGAAAACAGTTATTCCCTTCTCCTTTCCCCACTGCCAGCTCCCAGAGGACATCATCTCCCTCTTGGGCTTTTCCATCCCTGAGCTTTGCCAGGTTGTGTTTCCTTCCTCTGAGGTCCTGCCACCTTCCCCTCAGCTCTTGTATCACAACATGTGTCCCTTGTTTGCAGGGGTGACTCTTTTACCAGCTTATGTCATGTGATAAAGACGTTTGGTCAAGCTTTCCAAGCACCTCATAGCAACAGTCTTCTCCCTCGTTCATTTGTGTTCCCTTTACTTCTCTTTTTGGGCAGTATCTTCAAAGTGATCCTTTGCTGGATCTTTTTCCTTAACGCATCTTGAAGAGGAACCTATTTGCATAGGACATTTGTGCCAGGGAGACTCAAGTCTTCTGTCCTAGACTTGCACAGATTTTGTTGCTATTCAAGCTTTTGTGTGTAATCGTGTTTCTCACCTTAAAAGAATAAATGTGATATTTTGTATATGAGAGGTTAAAAAGGTAAGATATAAAGAGCACTAATAGATATGGGCCAGTGTGTTCTTAAGTAAAGATTCAGCCTATGGGGGCGCCTGGGTGGCTCAGTGGGTTAAGCCGCTGCCTTCGGCTCAGGTCATGATCCCAGGTCCTGGGTTCGAGCCCCACATTGGGCTTTCTGCTCAGCAGGGAGCCTGCTTCCTCCTCTCTCTCTGCCTGCTTCTCTGCCTACTTGTGATTTCTCTCTGTCAAATAAATAAATAAAATCTTTAAAAAAAAAAAAAGACTCAGCCTATGAAACAGAACACACCATTGTCTCAATCACCCTCTGCCTGAGCCTGAGTCTACGTCTCAACAGTGAAAATCATTGGCCTTGGATATGGACATAACCCCCTGACCCACCCTCAAGTCTGCTTTTATCTTCAGTTGTCATGATTTCCTTGATTGATTTTCTTTGTAGTTTTACTAACTTGTGTTGTATTCTGAAAAGTCTAGTTTCATATGTCCTAGAACAGTCTTTCTCCATGGCCTTGTGCTTGGGTCTTCATCTCTAGTACCTCTCAAACAAGAGGCCTGTCCCTTCAGACAAGCCTTTCAGATGTTGTTTTCCTTATAATCAGACACTAAACTCAAAAAAAACAAGACTCAGTTTTACACCCAATCCATTTTGGTGTTTCCTGGGCAGCCACCAGCTCCCGAGGCTTGCTCCCTCAACCTTACCCCTCTGACATGGCAATCACGTGCAAGAGACCCGCAAAATAACAGACACAGTGCTATCCTCACATTTCATTAGCTCCACATTTTTTTATTAGTGCCACATTAAAGAGTTGGCCTGTTGACTTATGTATCCAGCCCACAGGGTAGAAAAACCTATAAAGTCTAAAAATGAAGTTCCGGTCATTCAGAGGTTAATTTTCTATAGTCAAGGGTACAAAGCATTAGTAAGATATTATATTAACAAGAACATTTTAGAGTCTGTACACTTTACAGGATGACTTGAGAAGCCTGGCTAAGTGGATGTGTTCATGCCCCCTGGGAACATCCTTCGATATAGTTCTATATCAAACCCCACAAAAGGTTATTTCTCTTCATTCTGATATTGCTGGTTATGGTTATAATTTAACCACTCAATCTTATCTTCAGCAGATGGTTTCTGCATTCCTACCATGCTTGCCAGAAGACACATTATAAGCTAAAAGACAGAAATTACATGTCCAACAAAGGACTGTCTCAGAACCAGCCAGGAAGGGACTGGTTGGATACTAACCAAAGGACGCTACAAAAAAAGACTCATGGGTACAGGATTCTTAGCATCAGCTAACATTACCTGTAAGACTGTCCCAGGGAACTGAGTAAGGACTCCTGGGACACTTAGCTCAGAACAGAAACAAGCAAATCACCATGACTCTGGGGCAGAGGTGCTGACCTGTGTTTCAAGAATCCGTGGAGACTGGTGTGTTGTTGCATTGTGCATTGGTACTGCACTGACCTCAGCGTCCAGAGGAACAAAATCACATATCCTCAGTCAATGGGCCTTCATGCTGACTTACAAACTCCATGAATAGAGAATGGCAGGCCTGCGCTCTGGTGGAGAAGAAAATGAAGACTCAGTGATAGCCCAGCATGCCTCCTGCTCGCCCCCGTCCCTGGCCCCTGGGATGAGATGACAGATGACTGGAATCACGCCTGGGGAGACATCTGCAGCTCACCCTTCTCCAGGATCATTTTCTGCTTCAGCCCCACTCCAGAGGAGTCTTAGTATTAAGAAGTAATCTTACACGTTGCAGCAGTCCCTGATGTGCCCAGCCAAGACCGTCCACCTGCTCCCAGCCCTCAGTCTTGCTCCTTTCCCCAGAAAGAGGCAGTGAGGCAGGGAAGCTATGTGAGAGACAGGCTGAAAACCAGCTGGGATCCAAGCCACAATGGCTGAGCCTGTGAAACCTGAATGACATATTCCCGAGTTCATGTCCCAGCTCTGTCACAAGCTAGCTGTGGTCTGTCTGCATTTCTGTTCTCCCTTTCCATAGAATAATGGCGAGGGCCTCACCACTTTGGCTTGTTATGAATCTTTAATGAATTCACATGTACAAAGACCTTAGAACAGTACAGCATCATGAATGAGTGACCATGATGTCGTATCTTATTTTCACTTGGGAGAACTGGAGGAAGACTGTCCCTTTGAGCTTTGATGACCACTGTTGGTTTCAGCCCCAGCCTGGAAATCAACTAAGATCATGGGTAAGTGCTTCATCAAGGGCACTCATTGATGACAGAGGAGCAGACCTAGAAAACCAGTATGCTTCTGTAGCTTCCCTAGAACAGTATTGTTGCCTTCCCACTGCAGCTCTAACCTCCTGCCAGAGCCTGTCTGCAGCCCCTCCCTGCTGGAGAACCCCTCCTGTTTCCACTTTTGCCTCCACTTCTTCAGGGTAGAATTTCTGCCTCCCCCAGAAGCAGGGTAGGTGAGCAAACAGCCATGACCGAGCTTCTCTCCATGTTGCCAGACCCAAGGGTGAACTCTGGGCAATGGGACAGAAGGTGGGATGTGGACACAAGATTCCCAGTCCTCCCTCAGAGACCTACTCACCTGGCACATTGCCAAGGATTCCACATTAACAGATGCTTCTGTCAGAAGTGCTCTAGTGTGTTATCATTTGGAAATTATAAAGCAACAATGTCCCCTGTTAATATTTACATTTCACCAGCCTTTGAAATAACATTTTAGTGAATGCCCTTGTCAATAATTATCTTGTGCATGCCCTTAATTGTTTCTTAGAATAAATTTCAGTAATAGAATTGTTGAGTTAGTATAAGAATTTTTACACAGACAGACAAATAAGACTTCCAAACAAGGGGGTACCCAGTGACTCAGTTGGTTAAGCATTTGACTCTTGAGCTCAGCTCAGATCTTGATTTCAGGGTCGTGAGTTCAAGCCCCATGCAGTGGGGAGCCTACTTAAATAAATAAATAAATAAATACATATATACATACATATATATATAAAAAGATTTCCAAAGAGGTTGCTACCAATTTACACTCTTACCAGCAGTAAACTAGCATCCCTGTTTCCTGAACCTTTGCCAAATGCATATTTCATAGTCTCTATCTCTATATCTCTATAAATCACTGCCAGCTTCTTAGATGAAAAATTATATGTCTTTGTGAATTATCAAAGTTCCCATGAGAGTTTATCAGTTGACTATTATTAGAATCATGCTCTGTAACAGCCTGCCACCAAGTCTCTGGGGCATATAAGATTTTGTTTCATATTCATGCATGTGTGCGGTAGCTGGGCCTCAGCCAATAGGTTTGACTTAGTCTGGCCTCAGGATGGGCTCAGGTCTGTTCTCTAGGTCGTTAATTCTCCTGGGACTAAAGGGCAACCTGGGCACATTCCTCTGCTCACAGTGGCAGAAACACATGAGAAAAAGCCTCTGCTCACATCACAGCCACAAGAGTTTCATTGGTCAAAGCAAGCCACCTGCCAAGTTCAATGTCCAAACCCACTAATGCAACTACAACTGTTAAACTAAAAACTATTCCACATGCTTCTTAGCAGTATTTCTTTCTTTGGAGTATTGGCTTCTTGGGAGTGCCTTAGAACAATGGGCAGATTTAGATATGATGGTCAGAGAAGGTAAAAGTCCTGGAGGCAACAGTGAGCTTGTTACATTAGGAGACTACATAGGGGCAAGTGTGAGCCAAGCAAGGAAGCAGGGGAGGTAGGAGGGGGCCAGTTGCCCAGGTCACAGTGATGTGCTCTCATTAAAATGTAGGGAGAGGGGCATCTGGGTGGCTCAGTTGCTAAGCGTCTACCTTTGGCTCAGGTCATGATCCCAGGGTCCTGGAATCGAGCCCCACATTGGGATCCCTGCTTGGCAGGAAGCCTGCTTCTCCCTCTCCAGCTTCCCAAACTGTTTGCGTTCCCTCTCTCTCTCTGTCAAATAAATATTTTTTTTTTAAGTTTAAAAAAAAATTTTTAATAAATAAAAAACAAAATGTGGGGAGAGCTGATCAGAATCCAGAGAAACAGCAGGGGGATCCCTTCTTGGGTTCTTGCAGTACTTTAGAGGAGCAGTGGAGCAGTGGGGAGCGGTGGGATTTAGACATGGGCCAGATAAGAGACGGGAGAGAAAACAGGGTCAAGGCCTGGGCCTCCAGGTAAAACTGGCTCCTCTCCTGGGAATAGGGAATGCCGATGGGTGTTCATGGTTTTTGAAGCATAATCAGTAATTTTATTTTTAACATGCTCAATATGAGAGAGTTATTGGACACCCACATATAGATATATAAGGTAGTTGGCTATGTGGGCCTTGTGTCCAGAAAAAGGGACTGGAGACAGTGGTTTGGAGAGTCAGGCCTCAGGATTTAAATCCACAGCCACAATAACCTCACTTAGCAGGATGGAGAGAAGAGGAAAGTGTGGTACTGCCACCATCCCAGGAGGAGAAGGCAAGGTTCAGGGGGCCCACTGAGAAAAGACCAAGGAATGTCCCCTCAAGCAAAATGGCTTCAAGGAAGAGGGAAGGTGAGATGAAATGGAAAGCCTAGAGGTGTGGTGGGAGGTGAGAAATGGGTATCACCTGCAGGGGAGTCAGTTCGACTTCTCAGTCCCTGCAAGCAGGACTCCAAGTCCCCTTCCCAAGATGCTCTTCCTTCCTGGAGGTGAGGGAGGGCGCCCCAGCTCCACCGTCATCTCCGGGAGACAACACTCCCAGACCACACACACCCAGTCCCCCGTCTCCGCGGCCAGGCGTCGTAATCGGGCCAGACTCTCCTTTCCAATCCAATGTCTGGGGATCCAATGTCTGAAATGTCCTTGGGGGACTCCGCTCTGCGCACTTTGCTCAAGACACCCAAAGAATATCACGTTGATGGAGAAGAAAGGAAGGACGGGGGAAGAAACGACCTTGGTGTCGGGGACAAGGAGTCAAGGACCTGTGAGGCCCAGGTACGCAGGAGAAGAAGGAATCTGGAAAGGCGACAAAGGTGAGGAGACAGGATGGAGAGCCCAAATCTTCAGGAACCAACACGGAGGACTGTGGGGACCTCTGAAAGACTTGTTTTCGGCTGTCGCAGCCCCTCACCTGCTCCTTGGGTACCTGTGCGCATCTCCCTAGGTGATGCCGCTTCCTCCTGGGAAAATCCTCTCTCTTACCGCCCCAGGCTGTTTGCGGTCCCCGTGGCAACACTCCAGCGTGGGCGGGACTACAGGAAGCGGTCCCAAGGTGGCTATTATGATGCGTGGGCAGCGGAGCCCAGAACTGGTCATCAGGGGCGGTGTGGGCGGGGACTGCGAAGGGACAGCGCTTAGAGGCCTCCTGGGAGGTCTGGCTGCTAAGAGAGCTGGTCAGACATTCAGGAAACGCCCCATCGCTGGGGACTGGCAAAGACAGAAGGAGGCAAGGGCACCTGGCTGGCTTGGTTAGCAGAGAATGTGACTCCTGATCTTGGGGTTGTGAGTTCGAGCCCCCACAATGCGTGTAGAAATTTTGTAAAATTTAAAGGGCGCCTGGGTGGCTCAGTCGGTTAAGCCACTGCCTTTGGCTCAGGTCATGATCCTGGACTCCCTGGATCTAGTCCCACATCAGGCTCCCTGCTGAGCAGGGAATCTGCTTCTTCCTCTGACCTGCCCCTCTCTCATCCTCTCTCTCTCTCTCTCTCTCTCTCTCTCAAATAAAATCTTCAAAAAAAATTTAAATTAAATTTTTTAAAAAATAAGGAGGCATATGTCCCTTACCACTGGGATGAAGAGGATAAAGAGTAGGGACAGAAACCTAAAAAACATTGTTGCCAGGCAATGCCACTAATGTCCACATTGCATAAAAAATAGCCTCCCCCTGGCCACTCCTGAGCCCCCATACTCCCCAAAGAAACTTCCTCTATAAAACCCAAAAAATGGATCCCAAAGGATAACCTAGGACGACAGACAACAATGAAGGAAGTGAAGACCATGGCCCCACAGTGGAACTGGAGCCCGTGACGCACCCCAGGATACTTGGAATGAAGCCCAAAGGGGCTCAGGCAAGATGGCAAGGCTGCCCATGAGGTGTCCTCAGGGGCTCAGAGCTGAGCAGAGCCCTGTGCTTTTTTTTACTCCTTCACAGAGGTGCTAGTGGTCCCCCTGCCTGAACACCTGAAACCTGGATCTGGTTATCTGGAGGGATTCTGAACATATAATTTTGGGAGCCATTTTCTTCTAGGGAATTCTTTCTACAGGAGACTGGGTTGTGATGGGGGGACAGCAAATAACTTTCATTTGGCCATCAAGACAGTGCTGTGGGCTAGAGAGGGATTATCAAAGCATGGAGAAATTATTTGATTTCAGCATTTCAACAGCTAGTAGGTATAATGACAAGACACACTTACTGAGCCCTCACTAAGCTTCTCATGGACTGACCTGAATTCTCTACATGGAGTAACTCCAGCCTGGTGAGATAGGTTCTGTGATTATCACATTACTTGGGAAGCACAAAAGTTAAAGGAACTTCCACACCCAATGGCCAGTTCATAGCACAGTAACGAGTTAGACGCAGTCTCCAGGGCTCAGATCTTTCCACATGGGACTGAGCAATCC